ATAAAGATACTCTTATCAGGTTCAAAAGAAACACATGCATAATTGAAACGTTGGAAAATAGAAAATATGTTTGCTAAAATCAAGTTAATGCAAACACTGGTTTGAATAAAAGGGCCAAAAAAGTAAAATAGAGAAGATGTATTTTGAAAAACAGAAAAGGATACAGAAAATTAAAAAGAAGAAAATGAGAGTGAGAGTGGAGGAGAAATACATGTCCACACATAAAGTGTTGATATTTAAGTCAGTGTTGTTACTTTGTGTCCAATCTCGGAACCCCTCAGCAATCATCGTCTCTCACCGCCTGATAGACGTATGTCTCTGGAAATGAATATTCCAAAAAAGGAAAATGATTTTCTCATGATTAATCACAATAAATGCGGATTTAGTTTTCTCGAAAAAACACAACATCAAGGTGTAGTTTTGTAAAACATTAACATGCACGCTTTGTCAGGTCTGTCCTGAAGAGGAGGATGTTGGATCAGTCATTTGTGATGTGTTTCACGTAGTCTGGAAATCTAAATGCTAATTGGCTTTAACAACGTCAAGCAGATTCGTGGTTCTAGTTGAAATGTTTGATCTGCTGTATAATTGATTGTCAGCGCACTTTTATTCAGATATCTGTTCATAGAGGTCAATAAATCAGGTAGATTACCGATAGGGAGTTGGTAAGTCAGTAGCACGTAACGTTCCACGTTCTTTTTGCTACACAAGACCGTTTTGCATACACCAAAGCCTGCTGATACGTTAATGGGACAATACAGCTCAGACTACAAATAGAAACCTGAACACTTCCCATGCTGAGATTATAGTACTCCGCGTAAAGATTCTACATTTCTATCTGTAAATGGAGATCACTTTGTGTCAAACGAAGCTTCGTCTTTCCTTCTTTCACCCTGCCTGCGTTTATTATGAACCAGTAGATGGTTGCGTTTCAATCTGTAGTGTAACGTTTACAACAATTCCCCACAGCCTGCTGTAGTCTGTAGCTGTCAACTTAGCCAAACAAACTCTTTCATACAGCGCAGTGTCACACAAAACACGCTACAGGAGAAGTCAGTGACACACACACACATCTGCTAAATGAATATGGTGCATTATGTTATGTGTATTGTCAAAGCTCATATAAAAAAAATATAGTTTTGGTAGACTACAACAAACAAACAAAATATAGAAATGTATAAAAACAACCTTATATAATAAAAGCAAATAAATCAAAAATAACTGACTACGTTTTTGAGGTAGTGGTAATGTTAAATGACAAAACCAACGCAAAATGGCATGAGGCACACTAGTCGTTTAAATTCATTATCTTGTTTTCACGCTCATTTGAAGCCAAAGTCTTAATTGAAATTTAAACTAGATTTATTTTCCAACACTAGAATGCACCACAGAACACACACTACAGTATTCAAGACAGGGGAACACAGCTTTACTCGCTAATGTTTATTTTATTCAAAAACAAGCCACTACTTCTCGGCCGGACTCAACCAGCATTAACTGGTCTTTTCATGGAGACTGAATTGGTTCCAGTACAGAGGTCAGGACTGGACAAGGCCTGGTGTCATTTTATAAGAATAGGAACAGGGTTAAAACAGACACACACACATACACACAGTATAGACTCAGTGACACCACAGACTAATCACAGCCTGATATACAATCAGAGGGTGAAAGAGATAACATGGCGTCTGTGTCCTTAGTAAGAGTGATTGACAGATTAGAACTGAGAAGAAAGAGGCGGGAGATGTATTTTAACCTTTGAACGTCCCTGTAGACACAAAGAGTGACGCTAGGACAGGAGACGGAAACTCTTTGATGAGGAGGACAGTTTATCATTTCAATGTCAGTGATCAAAATAGGCTAAAAAAAATCTGATGAGTGATCAACACAAGAATAATTCTTGCTCGCAGCCTTTAAGAGAATATCTTTGAGTTTTGGGCCGTTTATCTAGAAAACAAGTAGACCTGTCAAAACATTCTCTTGAATCTTTTACTTTTTCTGTTTTAGCCAATATACGAAAACACATGATTGAAATATCTCACAATAATAAATTAAAAGAAATGCCTGCAGTCCTATTTTGCTCAGCACAACCTTGTGTGAAGGTGAAAAGGAGCACAAGTCATAAAACTCATTTGTTCTGCTCTGCATTGAAGGAGGCATCGCAACTTTTCATTTTATTTTCACATTTTCTGAAACAATACCTCCTTAAATTTGTCTACCTCCGTCTCCAGTTGTGGCCTAGCTGGCTCGCCCACTGTCAGTCTCTCTTGTTGTTTCAGTAAGAGAGATCCTGGGCTTGACTGAGGAATGTACAGCTGTCTGGCATATGGATAATACTAGAATTTAATTTCTAACACCGCCTCCCCCCTTAAAGCCCGTTTTCACCCTCCCCCTCTCTCCCTCATGGGGAAGGAGGAGAGGAAATGTGTGTTTGCATGGACTGCAAATGTGCTAGAGTTTTTAATGTCTCTCTGTTTAAGAGTTACAAGACTCAAACCCTTTTCAGAGGTTTGTAAACTTAACATTATGCTACTCCAGCCGTACAGAATAAGTTATAGTCCTTGATATATGTTAATGTTAGACAGAATAATTCATATAGTCTGTAGCTTTATTTTTCTTTGTTAATTCATTATCATAACAATACAAGTTAAGCAATAATTGTCCCTGTGCAAAGATTGTGTTCTACTTCTGGTGATGATAATAAGTTTCTTACTAAAACAAGTTATAACAGTACCCTTACTTCTTTGGGTAGCGCTGGGGACATATAGTAAGTACAGTATAGTCTTTCTGAGCTAATAAAAGGCTTCAAGAGCTAGAGTTAATCCAATCTGTGATTCAAATCAAGTTCCAAAGTCATTTTAGAACAAATCTCCATCTTTAAATAATGCTTGTTGAGGAAGCTGAAATGAGTATGAATATCACACTTGATTTAAGCACATATTCAAACTGACTCGTTATTTAACTATAAGTGATGATGGAAACTTTGAAAGGAAGTACGATAGACCTTGAAGCAGTCTAAATGCGCTTGAATGTCAAGAAAATTCAGACAGCCGGAAAAGGTCAAACCAGAAAACAAAATAAAAGAATACGAGAGCTTAATGTATCCTTCAGCTTCAGGTTAATCAGTGAGCAGCCATGTTCATTAACACCACCTTCAAAAAAATAACAAAAGCCACAATATTTAGCAGTTTCAGTTTGTATACTACTGAGTTTACTATCATAGACAAACATATCATCTCCAGAAATGTGTTTCTGTTCAGACTAGAGCTACATGTCAACACAGGATTCACTTTGAAGTGAATAAAAACAGGAACTGTACCAATGATGCTGTACTCATCAGCTCAGTAATGTGAGACGCCGGCTTTATAAGGAGCTTCAGTCATCAGTGACAAACAGCACAAGGAGTAACAACAACGCTGACGTGACATTTCTTTGATGGCTCATTAATATTTTAAGTAAAACTCATTTGACATAAAAAGAACAAACTTGGTCCTGATTATTATCCTGTTATTAGCGTTAATCAAAACTGGGGCTGCTATCCTTTTTTTTAATGTGAACAAACCTGTTTATTATTGTCCTTATTGTTTAACACGTTTTTGGCCTGTAAATGTTAGACAATGGTGAAATATTTTAATCAGTATTTCCCAAAGCCCCAGAAAACATCCTTGAATGACTCCTTTTTCCATAAATCAAAAGATTTTCATTTTGCTTATTATAAGAGGGACAGAAAGAAATACATTTAACAAGCTGCAATCAGGGAATTGTGATATCATTACAAACCTATGTATTAGTTAACCTAACAATTGATCACTAATTTAACAACTGAACTGTTGGTCAGACAAAACAATTCACATGAAGACATCAAGTTTGAAGCTTTGACTGACTCTGAAACTATTTATTTAAGTCATGTTTTATGGACTGAATGATACAATTATGATCATGAAACAACTCACCGTCTAGAGCTTTATGTTTATGTAAGAGCTAAATAAATAAACTAAATCTTACTGAGGTGTTTTTATTAACTTAAGTGAAATTATAAACATTAGATCTGGAGATTAATGAAGCCATGCAGGCATCATTATTAAACAGAGCAAGTCAATAAAAAAGCCTCGACTCATATTTTTTTTAAAAAGGAGAGTGAAAAACAGCTACAAGTTTGTTTCTAAACAAAGTTATCGTCGCTCATTAACTTTTCCATGTGGAAAAACAAAGATTTACACAAACAGCTGCAACATTACAACACGATGAAACATGTGTTGTTGATGTGAGAACAAACAGGAATCATTTATGTTAATTCAAAGTTAGCTCTTAGAAAAACTGCTAACCTGAAGTTAACTTTAACAACTTAGTTCTTATCAGATAACTTTAGCAGGCAGTGTGTCGCTATTTTCCAGACACTTGATAACAAATTGTAAGTTTCAAAAGGTTCAAGCTTTACTATAATTACAGACGAGCTATGTAAACTATGCAGCAAACTCAGCTAACCGAGGAATGTAGCTAACAGTAAATATCTCCTCCAAAACAAACTAAACGGAAACAAAACATCGCTTGCATCAGCAAATACACAATTTATTTTTTTCAGATATTTATCGATATTTGTTGGTGTTTGTGTTAAACCGTGTTTCAAAATAGTAAACACATTTTAACTTTTTACTGTTGCAGAGGTGAAGCAAACTTTTTCCACGACAGCAATCAGAAGGGTCCGTCTATATCCTGGCGCCAACACACTTACGAAAAAATCTCTTCACTGTATTTTGTTGTGACATATTTTCACGCTATACAAATATAATTACTAACTAAAATATATACAAAGACAATGTACTTTGAACATGAGAAGAAATTCAAGAGTAAAATAAAAACAGGTTTTTTTTACTTGATTAATCGTAAACACGAAGGAGTCTAACGCTGGGACTGTGTTTACCTCAGCAGTTAGACGGAGCCCAAAAAGTCCGACTCAGACCCGCTGGCTGGAAATGAAGTTTGGGATTATTCTACTTTACCTCTCTTTCTTTACTTTCTCCCGCAGACGTGGCACTCCATTTGATTTAATTTCATCGTAGTTTTCAAATCCACATTCCCACCAGAATAAAAGGACAATAAAGTGTAATATCCCAGCGTTTTCTCTGTATATTCTCAGCGTCGTACCGCCTCGACTCCCCGCTCACTCGGTCTGTGGTTTCGCCGTTTGATGATGGAGGGGAGCAAATACCAGCCTAACAAAGATCGTCTTTTCCTGAAGCGATGGGTAACTCAGTGTCTCGACACAAATCGCCGAACTTCCGGTAAAGCACTTTGAGGCTACAGCATGCGCCTGCCTTTTCCCCTTTCAGTATTTTTATTAATGGGTTTACATTAAAATTGTCTTTCTAATTTAAAGAAGCGTTGAGGCTGCAGTTACAGCTGAGATGACTAAGAGTATACTTTCAGAGGACTATTATCATTCTACTCAGTTTAGACTTGCAATTTTACAACTACCGGTATACAGTCTATTAAATGGAATATAATTTGCCAGTTTTATAGGCTGGGTTCAGTAGGCTATTTGATGAATATTGATTATTTATTTATGAAAAACAAAGTTTCCAGGATTCCAGATTCAAAAGTCATTCCTAATTATTAAAATAATACAATAATAGGCAAATTATTAAACGTCTAAATAATAAAACCCATGGCATTTATTTTATTTCTTTTTTTTTTATAGAGAAGGTGTTGGCTGTGCGATTAAAAAGGACATCCAGACAGTGTTTTACAGAACTTCCCAAGTGACTCTTGGAGTTTTCTGGTTAGTTTTTGGTCTCCTGACACAGACGTAGAGTGGGAGCTCTTTCTTTTCACGTCTTTGTTTCAAATCAGTGTCGCGTTGTTTAGTCCTGCAGAGACCTGTGAGCTTTAATTTTGAAGTCAAGTACTAAGAGAGACTCAGGCGCCCACTGCTGTTGGTCAAGACCACATGACGCCCACCAGAAAACAGTAATAACGACAATAAAAAACTAGTTAAAAACAGAGAATCATTTAAATACATATTGTATGTGACAGTAAATTAGTTCTCAATAGGCTTCATGTCGCAACCCTTAAAATAGACACATAAAACTTCCTCTTTTAAGGTCATGACCTGTGTTATGTTTAGGATGACACAATCTGCAAGAGCTACATTCAGGGGAAAAATGAAATTACTGTAAATGTTTTGAAACTGGTGGATGATTCAATCTAACAAAAGAAAGGGAGGATAATTCTGAGTGAAATAAGAAAAGCCACAATCCTTCATTGAATCAAGAATCATATTGCAGGATTCACTCTAAGCTTTGTACTATTGTGACAGCATATCTAAAAATGATTTTTTTTTTAATAATCCAGAATGAAAATAACCTTATATTGTTGTCCTCTAACGTCTCTTAAATGGGAGCTGGACCGGATCATTCATATAATAGAGGATGATCTTAACATTTTGATATTACTCAACAACCTGAAATATGTAGTCTATTATTCTAAGGCCCTATTCTTTTTTATTAAAGTTTTAAGTTTAAGTTTGCAGCATTTTCTCTGCAAAACAGAAGAATTTTGAACAGACAAAAAACGAAAGATGAAATGTGTCAGGTATTTGAAGTGCTCAATTTATTCAACTTTCAACACATATATTCTTCAAATATTTAAAAAGCTGTTAAACAAATGTAGTGAAGTAGCAACAACCAACAGGGTCTTATTGTTACTTCAGCTTTTTAGTCATAATGTGACGTTAATAAAGTTTTTTACTTACAGATCATTAAAACCAGTCCAAAGTCTTAGAACATTGTTAAACTGCACCTCTCGTTTCCTAACTAATTCTGACTCCATCAACATGCCGTGACAAACACTGACAAACGTTCTGCATGCACACATTCACGCTTTGAAAAACTGTATAAAATATTCAAAGTAAAAACTGTACACCAGCACACAGCTGATGAGTCTGTGTGCCGGTCAGACAAACGGATCACATGGAGGCCTAAGGCACAAAACCCTGCGGGGAGACGTAACTCAACATTCAACATTCCCCACAAAAACTTGTGATGAAGTCATTTCACTTAAAAGAAAAACAATTTCCTTCAACCAAAAGTTCTTCTCCTCCCAATCATCAAGTCTGTTGTATCTGAGACTCTGTTTTTTTCCACTGATAACACGTTTTAAGATTATATTAAGGCAGTTCTTTTGCCTTTATTTGACCATGATTCACGAGCCTAGAGCAAATAAAGAAAGGTTTAAAATGCACCAGCAAGTTATCTTTAAAGATGATTTTTCTAATGGCCACCAGGGGCTGCTAAAAAACACAACAGTTACATTGAGGAGAATGACAAATTCCCCATAATGTTTTTAAACTGACAATTTCACTTCTTCAAGCAAACAGTCTAAAGGCCTGCAGTGTGACAGGAGTACAAGATGTTGTAAAAAAAAAAAAAAAAAGCCAGTGTAATAAACATTCAAACCCTTACAGTTTAGGAAAGCAACAAACATTAACGGAATAGTTACAAAAAAATGTACCAACTCTCAAAATACATCTTGTGATGCCAAACATTCACAAAAAAAGAGAAGCTAATTATGTCATGAGCACTGAACGCAGCAGTGATGATATATTAGCTTTTAAATAAATAGCACACGGTCAAAAGAATCAATAAATATGAAATTCAAGGTTATTTCTTGCATAGTAACACCTACTCTAAGTGAACTCAAAGAGGGATTGTTAGTTACAAATCACATCATCAGACACAGTCAACACTCTGCAGCAGCCTCACCTGAACAGGTTCACCTGAAAAATCTGCTCCAAACACATCTTTACTCTGTCGCAGAAAACAAGTCCTTTAAGCAATGAAGCAACAATCAAACTTATAATCTGATCTGCCCTATGACATAGAGAAAGTACGACCTGTATCGTACAATAAATAAAATAAGCATTTTGTCTTATTGTGGCTGGCATACACTCATCAGCTGCTAGCATTGTTTGAAGTCCATTATAGAAGCTGTGAGAGCTCATCTCTTTGAGCTCATTTTGTCTCTTTGTAGTTCTTGTGTCTCATTCAGATTGTTTTTGTCTCTTTGTGGACGGTTTATGCGCCGTGGTCTGAGATGGATCTTTAAAAGTGAATCGAGGAAACTTTGAAGATGTTTGTGTAGTGACGGTAAATGTGGCTCTCTATGTACCTGTTTCTGTTCGTTTGAGTCTCTTTTAAATCAATGTGTTTTTTTTGTTTATGTCTCTTTGGGGGGAATTTTGCTTATATCAAAAAATGTGATATTTTGTGATCGCTATGATCTATGAGTCCATAAAGTTCTTGTGTTTGTTTCTTGTGTTTGTGCTCATTAATCTCTCTTGTTGTTGTTTTTTTTGTCTCGGTCTCTTCATATTAATTCAATGTGTCTTTTTAAAATGTTATTAATTTTATTTTAAGGAGGGGGTGGGGTGGGGGGGTTCTCTTTATTTACATTATGCCATATGTTCTGATTTTCTGTTGCTTTGTAGTTTTGCATTTCCTATATATCCTTTTCGTCTCGTTGAAGCCTACATAATGTGGTTTATAACTCCTTTAAAGTTTCTTTTTTTGCTTTTGTCTCTTTTAAGCAGTTTCTCTTTGTTGTCAAGTTTGAACTTTTTTTAAAGTTGTTTTGCATCTTTTGAAAAAAATGGCTCATAGTGTCTGTCTTTATGTTTTTCATTTTGTTTCTCTATATGGTCTTCTCTAGATAGAGGTATTACTGAATCAAATGTACTGGGTTAGGTTTTGGAGTGACCAGGGTCCTCCACAGTACCACCGTGCACTTGGAGTAGTTTTCATGTGACCACACAGGTTCACCTGCTGTGTGAGTGCGGCTTGTGAAAATGGTAACCTGGTCGTGTTACATTCACTGCCATTCTCCCCTCTAACAACAATGTCAGACACAGATCAGATAAGGCTTCACTGCTCTAGTTCACTGTAACACAGCTGTAGTCAGACCACTCTAGTCTAGACCACTACCTTATATCTGTCATCAGTAGTCTGAGTTGGGTTCAAAGACTGATCCAGACTGAGAGCAGACACAGTCGTGTTGTCCAATTAAAAAAAATCAAAACAAGAAGTGATCAGATATGAATAAAATACTCTTGTTAGTAAAGTGAAAAAAACAAGGTAGCCTTCAAAAGGCCTAAACAAATCTATCTTCAAACAGGCACAGTGCTGAGGAGAGTCAGAGACATCATGGGAACAGTATTCTGGATACAAACATCCGCTTTGTAATTCACACCTATGGAGTCTCAAGTGTGCCTCTGTAATAATCTTTATTTCTCAGTTTCTTCAAATGCATTTGTACGTTTTCATAATTTAAAAGTAACGTTAAGGAAATAGAAATGGGTTTGGATCTGACCATTTTTCTATTTCCATATTCTGTAAAAAAAAAGAAAAGAAAAAAAGAAATTAAATGTAATGACAATATTGATTTTTAAAAGTTATCAAAACTACATATTCAAAAACCTCTAAAAGTTGGAGAAATCAAAGATATACAAATAATTATTTAAATCTACTTTTGTTTCTTCTTGAGATACATTCTGTCCAAAGACACAGACGTGTACAGCAGGGTTTAGTCCAAAATAGAAATCATTTAAATTTGATCATTTGGCACACTTCAGGCTTCATGAACACTCCTCTGTATTTAAACTGAACAGCACCCGGTCACATCAAACACACCGTCTCTGGAAGGAAACATGAGAAAGACACACTACAGTACATCATAAAGAGGGCTGGAAGGACATCAGAAACAAATCATGACTTTGTTGAAATATGAATCATCAGGCAGCGTTGTTATAATCTTAATGTTAATGCACAAAGAAATCTGCTCAAACCAAAGTGTATAAAGAGTGTTAACATTAACACACACGTCTGTAAAAGTTGTTGTCGGCTTGCGTTCATAGAAGGCCAGACGGCCCGAACTCCAGATGTGCAGCTTGTTCGTCTACACGTTGATGGCGTGAGCGTGCTTCTTGCACAGAGGTTTGTCTTTCTTTGAGTAGAAAGGCTGGCCTTCAAGGTTCACATGACAAACCTGCAGTTACAAAACACACGTCAGCAGATTAAACAAAAAATAGATGAAGTCTGTAATCAAAGACTAATGAGGACCTGCTGTGGTACTGGACTTAATTCTGAACACCTTAGGGTGCACTCACACTAGGCAAAGTTGTCTCATACCATG